ACCTGGCTACGCCCTTGCTTCTTCCTACTGTGTATTAGGTGCCTAGACCGGAGCCTATCGATCCTGGACGAGGAGTTGTGCGTGATGTAGGTGTATTCTGTTTCGCGTGGCCGAAGCTGTTGCCACACGTCGTATAGATGAAGCTGCCGAACGAATCACACAATTGAAGTCACCACCGAAGACGTGAACAAAACGTTTTTATACCTTACTAGCTGAGTGTGCCCGGCCTTGCTCGGGATTCAATATTAGCTTGAGTTTAAGCGCCGATTCAAAAAGCATGCTATATTTTACTGTTTTATCTGTATGAGAGAGCCCCTTCCCTTTCAGAGAGGGGAAGGGTCTCGAACCATCATAAGAACCTTTCCCGGCCCCAGAAACCCCTGCGTACAAATTTTCACTCAGATCGTTTCAGTAGTTGCCGAGTCTATAAGGGTCAGACAGACAGACATAAATTCATTTTTAAATTCATCCACTACCTTATTTGCTTATTCTTGACAGATACGCGTACATTTCGTCTTCAATGTGCAGACTTCTTCAGTGTCTTGTACTAAAACTCGACTATCTATTTTTTTTAAGTCTCCAGTGTAACGTTTTAGTTTATTTGTAAATAGTTTTTCGTTGAAATCTAATTTAATTGACAATTAAATCCTTTTTATGTCAAGTTTGCTAAGAAATGAAATATTTCAACCGTGTAAATAAAATCAGACCATTACTGTGTCGATTTTACAACTTTGCCATATTTACTGTGTCTAGGCTACAACTTCGCCATAAAAGCTCAACTTATAGTGAGCTGTATTATATTGTACATGCTTTCTGGAGGCGCCATGAAGTCCGTCGCCATTCGAAAGGTTTGGCGCAACTCTCGAATAAAGAGAGAGTTTTTAAAAGATGACCTATCTGAATAGGAAAAGGTCGTTAGGAATTTTCCTGCTCGCAAAATTATTCTGACTCATCGATTTCGCTTTCGAATCGGCTGGATAACAGAAGTGCGTGAATTACTTTACGTTCTCGAGTTATATTAAATCAAATTGATTTTGTGCGTTAAGTTTCTCTAAAGTGGACATAAGTCCGTATTAAGTTCCGCGTAGTCTGTTCAGTGCGTTTATTTGTGATATTGTACAAAAAGCGCGTTGCGCTTTTATTGTACGGGCTGGATATACGTTCCGTTCGGCTATCGTCAACGCCGGATCGGGGGTTCCATCTGAGGCATCGCCATCATCGTTCGTGGGAGACGGACATTTCCCGTGACTCGTGCGCCCTGCTAAGGCCCGCCTTTTCGAAGGTAGCTAAACGGAGGTGGGTGAATTTCGCTAATCTTCGAAGCGAAATATCTTCCGACGGTCGCCAATCATCCGTCGACGAGGTCCCTTCTACTAAAACCCCGTGGACCATTATTTCCGAGAGCTCGGACCGTGTGAGTGCGTCGCCAAAAGCGTGCCGCGGTCCGGATTCAATCCAACGGGAGAGGGGGTTCATTTCATCACGGGTGGTCATAGCGGAAACAAAGTACGCGAAGCCGTCCGAAGGTAAGTTGGCCTCTTCTCTTTGCGGAGCGAATCTCCCGGGACAGCACGACTTCTCGTCGTAGCTCAGCTCTCGATTGCCAAATCGGAAGTCTTCCGTCCAGCCGCCACTCCCTCCGCAACTCTAATTCGGCCATACCGCGTACGAGTCACCTTCCGTTTCTGCGCGCCATACTGCAGCATGTGAGCGGCACCATCACGTTTACGCCGCCATCGCTACACCGCCATCATCGAGTCGTCGAGCCCTCATCGGACAGCAGTCAGCGATTCATCACTTCGTTAAGTAAAACCTGCGCAGGTATGTGAGAGCATGTTTAATTCATGGCCATGATTTGCTCTTTCCCGTAAACCCCTCTCAGAAATCCAATGCGAATGAATGCTAGAATATAGGGTATACGTCCCTAACCTCGGTCTAATATGCAGCCATCGATTACGTTTTTAATCATAACTCATCAATGAATTTACCTGCAAACGATATTCTACTGCTAAATGGTATGCTTAGATATGCTTATCATGTCGTTTGCTATCAGAAACCACGAAAAGTTGAAAAACTTACTTTTTTTAAGACAATAACTCACGAGGGAAATGTATGTAATATGGGTCTATTGTCCCCAAATTGGGTCTATTTATGGATGCAACTTCGTCCTATCTTGTTTGATCCTCAAAAAAACGCTCTTGGTAACGTTTTCTGATGTATTTTTTTTTATCACTATCACTGTTAACTTAATGCTCTTCATTCCTCAAAACATTTCTTAGAGAAAATTTTACGAAAACTACATTAAATCACTCAATTTAAAAATTAAAAATTAAAAATTTCGCTTATCGTCTTTTGACCGCAGAATATCTAAATCAGAACATTGTGATGTTCATTATACAGGTTTGGCAGAAAAAATCTCCCTTCCTGTTCGTTCCTTATCATCCAAATGCAAAACAACATTGTTGACGTTACTCTTATTGCTATATGCTGTCAAATGAATTTCATGGGCCATAGTTAGGAACATAGAAAAGAAATGTGTCCCTAAAGTTGGGTCCATGTTTTACTTGTGAAAACGTTGTTAAACAATTAAAATAAACATAAAATATTCAAACAGCAACTGTAAGTTTTACGTCTAGTGTGTATTATCAGGTAATTCCAATCAATAAATGCCATAATCAGGCCATTTGATGATCGTCAGTCAACCTTCCCATCTTAACCTTATAAGTCATGGCGGCTAAAAACTCCGAACATTGTGATATTCTCAACCAGTTTTATTACTTACGAGAGCTGAAAATGTATTGAAATGTTGTGATATAAATTGATTTGTGTGTGGTACACATTTATCAACCATCAGTGATCAATATTTTCCTTATTTTTTGTGTAATATTCCTTAATTAATTATTTATTTGCGTGATAGGCCGAATGAAAGGACTAGACCCACATTACATACCGTAACCCTAGTTTAAAGAAAATTTTGAAAATTAGTTTTTCGAACGTTTTGAATGCTACTCCCTGAATAAAACACTCTTACTACGTTACGTTCTGTTTTCTTTCGTTTCTGCTCAGTTGAGTCAGCATTCCTTCGTTCTCTTTCCGTTTCGTTTCGAGGGTGAGTCAGAGTAAAACCTTTGGTTTATTTATTGGGTCCATGCGCTCCATTCCCGTAGGGTAAACGCTCCTATAGTTGCGGTACGTTAGAAGCGTTAGGTTCCTATAGTTGTGTATTGCGTCTCCATACACAACTATAGGAACCTAACGCTTCTAACGTACCGCAACTATAGGAGCGTTTCCCCTATTACTGAAGGACTTGGCATTTCCAGAAAGTTAGTAGTTTTCTTTCATTGCCGTCAGTAACCAACGACCGTTCAAGAGGTCCTCTGAGAGAAAAGTCTCATTTGTCGGGCAAAGCTTTAACACGACCAGTGGTCTCTCTTAATAGAGAGTGGTGCTTAAGCCACTGAGTTAAATCCAAACCTCAGCGAAATTTCACGAACGGTTACACCAGATAATCAAAGTCGACCTGCATCACCAAAGAAAAAAAAAATAGGATTGGCAAGTGTTTTTTTAATTGATTACGGTTTTCGAAATTCAAAATCTCAGACATGAAAATGAAGAAATAGTTAAGGGCATTCGTCTGAACTGATGGCACTACCACGAAAACACCAAACTACCAAACTGAAATAAATGTCTATTATCGCATTCTCAGCTCCTCTCACATCACTCAGCAGTCGACGTTCAACTTCAATCAGTTCGACGAACGCGTCTGCCGAGCAAAGGACTGCTCCAACGTTAATGAGCAGAAATTTGATTGCCAACTACAGCACTCCGCTCGACAACTGCTCCCGGCACGCTGTAAGTGCGTTGAGTAAGTGTAAATTGATTACTCAATTCCATCGATTAAAACTTGCTCGTCAAAATGACCGATTGTGCGACCGGTCGGTACAACACCACCCCACGTTCAACGAGTAAAAGTTTCCCTCCGAGGGATAAACCGGGGAACGTTAAAATCGTCACTCAATTTGCGAACTCGTCTGTGCTGACGATTCCCGGCCGGGGTAAATTATGTTATAATTGAGTGACTACAATTTTCTGTGAAACTCTAGCGGCGACCACCGGACAAAGAAGATAAGCCTAGGTTGTCTGGAGTTAGGTTTTTTTTAGTATGCTTCCGTTCCGTTCGTTGGGTTCGAATCAAGTTTGATTGCTATCATGAAGCAATTGAGGCAGGCTCTTCCGAATGATCGATGGGAAGGAAGCTTTCCAGCCTTTGCCCAAAACGAGCGATTAACGTCACAAATGGCAACAGTTTTTGCGAGCTGTCAATACAACTTCGATTGTAGTGAAATTATCACCCAAATTTGCACGTGTTTCAAACTGCTCACTCTCTGACGAAGAAGAGCTCCAATCCCATTCGCTCGCATACAGGAAATGCTCCATTTATCCAACACTATTCCAATTCCACAGTTTTCCTACCTGTCACCAGATGGATCCACGCTGCTATTCTTGGGAAATTACTGTCCAACTTTCCCCTCACCAAACCGATTCCGCCAGGTCTCCTCCAGCACGACTCGCAAGGAACGACACCAAAGTTCAAGAGCAAACGTCAAGTTTTGAGGATAAATGCGCAGGTCCGGGAAATTTCTCCCTCGTCTGCTCGCTTATTGCATTACGCTCCGTAGTTCCCGTTGGCGACGGACGACGTAGACGAACATTCCGTCACATCGCGTCTCCTGGACGACTACCGAGCAGTAGGGTTAGAACGGACCTTGGTTTACAACACGAATTATGGACACGGGCTGTGGGTCGGGTGGAATGGGGCAATGTTTTGAAAAAGTTGGGAAATTGACTCTCATTAACCGGAAAGAGAGCGAGAGAGCGGGAGAGAATGCGGGATGGGCGTGAGAGTCGAGTCCTAGCTGGCACAGGATCCTTTACTGGGGGACTGATTTCCCTATAAATTTTCCGAGATTTTCAGTGCTCTCAAGACGCTGATAGGAAACGCACGTGCGGTGTCTTCAGTCCGTATCGGATCCGTGTTCTAATCTAGTTTTTTGCTCGCTCAGAGGCGTTCAATTCCCGTGTGAGTGTGTCCAGGCCAATCGTGTCCCGCCTGACGGTTGACAGATTCCAGATGCTGACTAGTGCCAGATGAGATGCGATAGATGTTGTTCGGTGGTGGAATTTATGGATCATTGAATGGATAACTGTGTCGACGTGGTGGCCGGAAATGGGAAGAATTTCGCAGAGTTGGTTCGATGTGAAGTGATGGAAGTCGTAATTAGCGTTCGCTAATTGAAGTGATTCATTAGAACAACGCTTGCAGTGAGGTGCGGTGGAAGGAAGAAGAAGTGAATTTGACATATTATCAGCATCATTGTTGTACGACGTTTGGAGTGGGTGGAAGTGTAGAAACGTGCAAAAGGATTTCAAAGCAAGGTGAAGTTCGCTTGCTTGGCCTGGGCTGGGGTGTGAGAGCATAATATTGCCACAAGAGTACAAGTGAGAAGCTTCACTACGACAGCGAGTCGTTCGAGAGACTCTTGTTTTGGCATTCGACTTCAGGGCGAAGCCCATATTCATTGGCACATAAATTGTGCTAGGAGGGGGAAAAGTTTTGCGATAATTTTTGCTAGAAGGACAGGAGTCAGGCCGAATTTCCAGGGAGTAGAAGCGTAAATCCGTAGTAAAACGTACTGCAATTGAGAATTTTCGTGAACGCAATCAAAAGTGATAATCAAAAGCCGCTCGTACTTATGTAAGCTACAGGCAAAAGGAAAAGGATTCATTGTTGGAGCTATAAAAAGCCTATAAAGTGCAATCATTGAAGGAGGGTTCGGACCCCTTGCTGTGCCATGTGTTACTTTATTGAAGTGGAAAATCGTTCGCGTTATTATCGCAGTCAGTGAAAAGCTCATTAAAGAAGAATATTGGTGTGAAACAGAGGGAAGGAAAATTACTGCAAGCTGTTGCTGGTGCCATAAGAAGGTGAATTTAATCCAAACAACAGTCCAAAGTGTCCGAAGGTTAAAGCCTACGATTGAGGATTAAGGGTCGCATTGCCGTACTCGGGCGAAAGGGAGAAAAAAAGCAACATGACGGTTAAACCAATTACCAGCATCAGCCGGAAGGATTAACGCTCGCGGCGCAAGTTTGGGATAGTGGTGTCCTGGCTTCATCCCCTCATCTACTCCCATTCACCAGTCTGGCAGGCGCTCCATGCGGAATGGAGCGATTTTTCATGTGATTTCGTAACAGGTAGGCTTTTGCCCGTGTCAATTCAGTTTATCACCTTCTCTGCAAACGAGTATAATTGAATCCTTACTTTATGCTTAGCTTTTCGCATCCCCTTATTCCGATGCTGGCATAATGTGGCGTGCTCGGACCGCATTATTGCCGCATATTGTTGGGAATGTGATCACCATTTAAGAGCTGTTTAGGTTTTGCGGGGAAGTTGGCTTTAGGTTTTGCGGGGAACGGAAGAATGGAAGGAATGTTTATTTACGGGTCGGATTTAGTTCATTGGGAAATATCGCCCCTTAAATAGTGTTGCTTTCTGCTTGCTGACACGCCTCGTTAAGGTATCATATCAGAAACTGTAGAAATCGTCACCATGCTACTTTTAAGCAGGCATGTCAGATGGACCAATTGTCTGCACATGTCTTCACCGCTACTTTTTAAAATGGTGCGTGAGGTGGGCGGGGAGTGTTTCATTATTTTTTCTCCTCCCCCGCCTAATTCCTCTGAAATCAAATGTTTAATATTTTTATAATTTTAGAACTTCCTGAATTTTGACCCTAGAATCGCAGAAGATTATGCAAGATCAAGATTTTTTTATTTCTCATATCTCGCCGCAGCGATGGGGACGGGGTTAAGGTAAACCCCCTCTCCTCCACCAGTGCCTTGAAGCAAATATTAAAATGCAACTTTTGCACTTTTAGTTTGTCAACACTCCCTTAATCAATCTTTCCCTAATTTGATAGTCTCAACAACTCGACGAAAATCCAGGTTACTTTGAAGACCTTTTTCATGCAAATTTCCTAAATTTACCTCTTAATATAATTTTTTTGTTGAAGATTCCCCGATGATCTTTCTTTTAGTAGTCTCAAAATGCAAGGAAATTTGTTCTCTTAAACTGACTTCCGCCAGAAGCTTCTATTAACTACCTTCTGATTTTCGTTGAAAAATTGTTTCTTCGACTTCCCTTGTTACTGCTTTCCCACTGCTCCAAGAATGTTTTTCTAAATTTTCCCAGGAAGGCTCATCCGATTTACGCCTGCAGTTTCTTCCATATTGCCGTGGAAGCTTGTTCCGGTTCAATTGAGATATGGCTTACTTCTTCCACCGGAATATTTCTCCATCTTCACCTGGAGGTTTCTACCGAACTGCCCGAGAAGGGCTTATGGTTTCCTCCGAAACCTTTTTCTGATATCCTCTGTGGTTTTTTAAAGCCTTCCTCTGGAAGATTTTAGTGACATGTCCATCTGACTTTCTCCTGAAGTTCTGTTGATTTACTTTGAAAAAGTCTTTTGACTTTCTCTGGTAGATCCTCCAAACTTGCCCCGAAAATTTCATCTGACTTGCTTCGAAAGATTTTCTTGGATGATTATTTTCATTGGCGTAGCTAATGGGGGTGCCAAGGGGAGCAGGTATCCTCCATAATAATCCAGCCCCCCCCCCGCCCCAAGAATTTTGGGTGTTTACACTGGTATTTTGCCAAGCAGTATCGAGGCTACGATTTTAACTTTTTATTTGTTCCAAATTCATAATAAATAACATTTAATTTTAACCCAGGTGCTCCAGCTACAGCAGTAACCTACCAGCCTTAATTGCTATGATATAAGTGTTTTAGAATTGCTCCTGCCCTGGCAATTCAGTATTTTAAAAAGGTTTTCCATACACTGACCCCCCTTCTGATGAAATTAATTTGAGTAATCAATTTGATTTGCTCACGGATGATGAGAATGATCCATCATCCAAGAAAAATTCTAGTAAACTTTCCCGGCTTAATGCCAAGAAGGAAAAGATTCCCCCTATTGTGATAACTACTTCCGATTTCCATGCTCTTCGCATGGAACTTTTGAATTTCGTGAAAGTTAAGTTTTCACTTCAAATTGGACGTCGGGGTGAATGCCGTGCATTGGCCGAAACCTTGGACGGATTTAAATGTCTTCTCAAGCATCTTACTGAGGAGCAGCACACATTTTTTACTTACGACACCAAAACTGAACGTGTGTTCAAGGTTGTCATGAAAGGACTGCCCAGTGGTGAATCCCTGGATCAGATCAAAGATGAACTGGCAAAATTACTTGGAGTTGTGCCACTCCAAGTAATCAAAATGAAAATGAAATCCCGTCCTGGCGATTCGCGCAACGGGATTTCTAATGATTTTGATTTAGTTCACTTCAAGTCTAATGAACTAAACAACCTTAAGGCCTTAGAAAAAGCTAGCCTTATGCTCCATGTCCAAGTGAAGTGGGAACACTTCAGGAAGACTGGAGGAAATTTCCAAAAACTCACTCAGTGCCGTAAGTGCCAGGGATGGGGTCACGGAACAAAAAATTGCTACATGCCAGCTAAATGCATGAATTGTGGTGATTCCTTCAGGTTCTGACCAGGTTCAAATTCCTCTGCTGTTAACAACGGTCAGCGAGGAACAAATTCTACATTCGTACCCGTAGGTACAAATATCACCCCTGCTTCAAATTTTTCATCTGTACCTACTCCCCTCGCTGCTAACAATGTTCAGAGAGGTAATGGAGCTAACTATGCTGCTATTGCAGCGGGTAGAAATCAAAATACTAACCAACGTTCTAACGGAAATTTTGACAATTTTACCTTAGGAAGCATTACAGCCCCTAAAATGGAATTTTTACAGAAATCATTAATTGACAAGATTTCTAATATGCTTAAATCTAACTCCATTCTTCTTCTTCTTTGCATTTCAAGCTTATTGCATATCGCATATTAGCTTATTGCGTGCTCTCAACTTAGTGTTCTAGATGCACTTCCACAGTTATTAATTGAATCTTTTCGGTGCCTGTACCATTTTTGCATTGGTATAATTGTGTTGCAAGTCCAATCATACTTTTATGCCCAGGGAAGTCGAGACATTTTCCAACCCGAAAAATTCCTAGACCGAACCGGGAATTGAACCCAGCCACCTCCAGCATGGTCTTGCTTTGTAGCTACGCCTTTACTGACTGAGCTAAGGGAGGCCCTTAAAAATCTAACTCCATGTTTGATGCTATTCAAACTGGGGTAAAATTTGCAAATAATTTTGTCATGACTTTAAAATTCAGTAATGGATTTTAAAGCATTAAATATTTTAAATTGGAATGCTCGATCTCTTAAAGATAATGAAGACGAGCTATTTAATTTTTTGAGAGTTCATAACGTGCATATTGCCGTTATAACTGAAACGTTCCTTAAACCGGACGATAAGGTTAAGAAGGACGCAAATTATTTGATTTATAGAAATGATCGTCTTGATGAACCCTGTGGTGGTGTTGCCATCATTATTCATAGACGAATCAAACATAAAATTCTTTCTTCATTTGAAACCAAAGTTTTTGAAACTTTGGGAGTTTCTGTTGAAACAAAATTTGGACAACTTACGTTTATAGCTGCCTATTTGCCATTCCAATGCGTAGGCCAGCAAAAGAATTTTCTCAAGGGTGACCTCCAGAAACTTACCCGTCATAGGTCTAAATTCTTCATTATTGGTGATTTTAATGCAAAACACCGCTCATGGAATAATGCTCAAAGCAATTCCAATGGTAATATTCTGTTTGATGATTGTTCTGCAGGTTATTACACTATTCAATATCCAAACAGCCCAACGTGCTTTTCTTCTGCAAGAAATCCCTCCACTATTGATTTGGTCTTAACTGATTCATGTCAACTTTGTAGCCAATTGGTTACCCATGCTGACTTCGGTTCTGATCACCTTCCAGTAACTTTTGAAATATCCCAAGAAATAATTTCTAATCCCCACAGCTCTACTTTCAATTACCATAGATTTGGAGCAATATCGAACATTTATGGAATTTAACTTCGATCCAAACATTCCTTTGCAAACCACAGATGAAATTAATTATGCTTTTGAATATCTGACTACTTCTATAGTTGAAGCAAGAGCTGCGAGGTTAAATTCGATTCATTTATAATAGACGACGATCTTCAGCTCTTGATCCGTCTTAAAAATGTCCGTAGGAGACAATATCAAAGAACACGCGATCCTGCCATGAAAGTTATCTGGCGGGATTTGCAAAAACAAATTAAAAAGCGATTCTCTGCCCTGAGGAACAAAACTTTTGAAAATAATATTTCTAAATTAGACCCGAGTTCCAAACCCTTTTGGAAGCTCACAAAAATTTTGAAAAAAAAACTCAAAAGCCTATTCCAGCGCTTAAAGAAGGTGGTAAAATTTTGATCACAAATTTGGAAAAAGCTCAGAAACTTGCTAAGCAATTCGAGAGTTCCCATAATTTCAGTTTGGGTCTTACTAGTCCTATTGAGAATCAGGTTGCTCGGGATTTTCTGAATATTTTCTCTCGGGAAAATATTTTTGATGATTCCTGGGGGACTGATTTGGACGAAGTAAGGTCTATAACTAAAAAGTTTCAAAATATGAAAGCTCCAGGTGATGATGGAATTTTCTATATCCTTATCAAAAAACCCCCGAGAGTACCTTGTCTTTCTTGGTAATATTATTTAACAGATGTTTCCATTTGGCATACTTTCCTGATAAATGGAAAAATGCAAAAGTTGTTCCAATTTTGAAGCCGGATAAAAATCCAGCTGAAGCTTCTAGCTACCGCCCAATAAGTTTGCTTTCTTCAATAAGTAAACTTTTTGAAAAGATAATTTTGAATACATTCACATCAATACGAACTCAATTTTTGCAGATGAGCAGTTTGGATTTCGCCATGGGCATTCAACTACTCATCAACTCTTAAGAGTTACCAATTTAATCCGTTCAAACAAATATGAAGGCCAATCAACTGGAGTTGCTCTTCTAGACATAGAAAAAGCATTTGACAGTGTTTGGCATGAAGGTTTGATTGCTAAATTGAAAAAGTTTAATTTTCCACTTTATATTATAACTTTTAAAGATCACATTGAGGGCATTCAAGTTAAATGTAACAAATATATTAAATGTTTGTATCCTCTTATAAACAGGAAATCCAAGCTTTGCCTGACGAATAAACTTCTAATATTTAAACAAGTTTTTAGACCGGCCATGCTTTACGCTG